TGTGATGACTTTCAAAGAGAAAAGCAAGCACACTCGGAATAATGTATTATTTAATTGTTTTATACAGTCTATGGTTGCTACAGAGGATTGTGGGTAATGTAATGTCTTCGGCCGTCCAAAACTCATAGAAAACGACTTGTTTCTCAGAATTGAAGGGGAAAACGTGACAAAAGCATTGTACACACACTAAAACCTATCAATGTCATTTAATTAACAAGGATAATCTGGTGTTTTTGAGTTGATGAGTAGTGGAGATATCACTGTCAAATCAATCGACAGTAAGGGGAATACTTACTTCCGGGTGTACAATTCTCCGTTATCCAATGGGAATGGACGCTCACATTGCCTTTAACAGCCTCCGACACAAACGAATGCCGTGCTTCCCTAAGCGTCAAATACCGACGCCGATCGGAATACATTGCAATCAGTTGAAAGCTCTTTGCGTCCGTTTATGAAGCTGAAGGAGCCTCGGCACGTCACAACTGGACGCCACGGGACCCTGACCAAGCGTCGCTCCTGGACGCTTAGGGAGTGAGAGTGTGTTGAGTAGGGAGGGAATCTTCTTTTTTCCGTAAATAGAGTTACAGATTACAGCTCTGCTGCCTGTGATTTCTATGACCTGAACTCTGTTACCTTGGCCAAGTAAATATATATTTTGCTCTCTTTTAAGAAATAGTTGAACTTAGAAGTTGTTTGTCTTTCCTGGAATAAAAGAACGCAACACCCTATAGCCCCTGCCACGTGAGCAGTAGCAGAAAAATCATGCAAATTGACAGCATGGAAGTGTGGTGGAAACTTCTGTAGCAATAGGAGTCAGGACTCATGCGGCTTTCACACCAGAGCTTTTCCCTTTCTAGCTCCGAGCTAGAGCTTTTCTGGTTCAGCTCCAGTTTCCCTTTTCTGCTCCCGCTTTGTTCACACCACACAGAGCCGGGATGGTGCTGCCGCTGCTGCGTCATGACGTCACCGTTTACATCGCTGATTTGCTCCCCAACGGCGCTCACAACAACAACAACAACAACGGGGGACTGCGTCGGGTCGATGATCGTGTTGCTTTTAATCATACGAAGCCAGATTAAATTAAATAACGACTTCTCCAACCTTATACTTTTCTCCAGAGTGCCGTGGTTCATTGTTTATTAATGTGTTTCAGCGGCATTTACCGACCGCTGCAGTGCTGGCTGCTCTTCCACGGGAGTTTATTCTCCCGTTAGCTCCGGGTTAGCTCACACGGCTCTAACGTATTCACTGTCTGACTGTCACACAAGCAGCTGATACATATCCCCAGTTCCCCTTAAAGTGGACCTATCATGCTATATTTGAATAATATAGTGTAGGACCATACCTATATAAGGCATATTTATACTTTTTTTTTTTCAAAATACCAAACAGATCATGCATTTTAGCCATGCCTCATTTTGCTCAATTTGACATTTTTTAGCTCTGTTTTTGCAAGGGCAGATTCTGTGAGAACAGCACCATCTACAGGCCTGGCATATGTACTACAGCGTCTCCAGCGCTTTCGAACGGCAATGGCCGTGGCTGTCTCCTCCTGATTGGTGGAGTTGGCCCAATAGCCGTAGCGCCACGGTCCTGACGTCAGGACAGTGTTCAAATCTGGATCAGTTTTTATCAGATCCGTTGCAGCCCCTTTTTTAGAGATTTGGGTATGGAGGAAAATAGAGAGGGTTGTGTTTTCTGACACTTGGTGAGTTCCCTGGAACACCGGGGACACATATTCATGTATAAAAGACGTACAAAAGTGCATTTTGCATGATAGGTCCCCTTTAAATGAATGTGTGTCAGTCTGAATTGACGCTGTTTGGCATCACAACGCTGTTATGAAAGTTTCTCTGGTATAACATGGGTGATGTTAGCATAGCAACCGAAGCTAAACTGACTACTTGCTAAGCCGTTTTCTTCAGGCACATTTTACCGGCGTATTTTTCATTATGATTCTACTTGTGATAGTCGGACATGACAACCTGTGCAGCCCATGTATTGATTCCATCCGATAGCTGCTATAATAACAAACAAAATGTCTGCCTGCTCTCCACAATGATCAATAACAGCGAACGGATGGTCAAAGTAAGGTACAAATAAACAGAATCACATGAAGCCTGGAGTGTTGCCTGACTTTATAAAGTGTGTTTTTTTTTATAAGTGTGTGGTTGCCTTCTAGTCACTTTGCTCAGCGCTACTGCTTGTAGGCAGGCATGATGAGACTCTTCAGTCGACCCATGTTCAGCGGAGGTGGGTTTAGTTTCCTACACGCCTCGACGTAAGAGAGACGTAAGCGACGCCGCCTCTTAGCTCCGAAGCTCTTGCTTCTAGACCAACAATTTTTTGGAGCTGGAAGTGAACCGGATTCCGGAGCTAAGAGGCGGCGCCGCTGCGGTGTGAACAGGAAAAACCGGTACTTTTCAGGCTCTAGCTCCGAGCCGGAGCTGAAAACGCGTTGGTGTGAAAGGGGCATCAGAGAGACACGAGGAGAGCTGGAGCTTTGATGGCAAACTGGCGGTTTATTTGGAGCTTCGGCCAGAGAATTCACAAGACATATCACGGGCCACGAGTTGACCACACGGTAGAGATGCCACAATCAATTCTGAAGAACTCTACCCCAGATCCATGTATTTAGCTAGTTCAGAGAGAATAATCAACATTGTGCATAACAAGATAGAATCCTAACACCTCTATCAGCTGACGCCAACAGGCAGGAACAGGGAGACAAAACACTCAGAGCACAGCAGCCAAGGTGCGTGTGCTCAGTCAGGTCAGTATGAACTGATAAACTGGGTCAAAATTATGGGCCTTGGAAATTATTTCCCCAACAGAAAGCATGCCATTTAGTAGAATGATTATAGTGATGTAATATTGCATTTGTAATGCAACAATTAACACATCAAAATACAACAACCAAAAGAATGCAAATACTGTATACCTGAAATGATATGTTCATGAAATACATAATGGTGTTTATGGAGAGTTTGCTGGGCTTTATTGTTTTATTTTCTCACTAATATTGTACTCTGTAGTCATAACATGTCTTTGGGGGTAGGGCATTCATTGGTGCCGAGTCATGTTTGGTGGATGGTATCAGGACCATAAGGGAATCCTCACATAGAAACTGACATACTGTATTTCTAAATAGCAAGAACATATGTGTCTATTCAAAATAAGATAGAAAGGTGCACATATTTCTCCAACTGAATAAGGATTTCCTTTTTTCCCCATGTTGTGTTTCAGGAATTGCTGGAGACTGGAAAAACCAGCTAACCCCGGCAGAAGCAGCGCACTTTGACGCTGTTTACAAAGACAAAATGAAAGATGTCAAATATACATTTGCATGGGATTAAATGAGAATACTTTAACATTGCCTCCTGCAGCATACCATGATTCTCAGAAATGAATAAGCCATTTCTTATTCACCACAAATTGTTTGGTTAATGAGGTTTGTGGCAGCAGAATTGGAGAAACACAAACAAACATTCTTTAACTCCTCTTAATAGATTAAACTGTTTTATGGTTTTCATAGACAGAGTCTAATCAAAGATGATGTGTTTGAAGTACTAGGCACGAGCAACCCTCTCTCTAACTTCTTGATTTGTTCATATAACACTGCCTTAACAGAGTTGTTGTTGTGTGACCTGAGGTGTTCACCTTGGCTGGTTTGTGTTATGGCCAAACCGATGTTTCTTATAATAGTTGGATAAAAGAAAAATATTTCAGCCTCTATGCCACGCACTGAACACATTATGTTCATGCTATGTGAACATAGCGGCGCAATATATTATACAGTACAAGTGTTGTTTTAGATCAAACCAATACAGGACACATCCAGTGATACCTGGTGATATTGAACACGCATTTTTACAAATACATAATTAGAAGAAAAAAAACGTTTGCGTTCATCAAGTAAAATGAAATGAGGAACACTAATCTTTAGTCAAACACTTGTTGTCCACACTGCATCATCTTCTGGTAAATGTGACACCAGACCTGGTACATTTCCATGAGGAAAATCCTCCTGTTTTAGTCAGGATACTGAAGTAATCTCTCTCTAAAGTGATGCATGTAAAGGCAAACAGAACAGAAGATATTATCTGAAAAAACCCAAATAAAATAGTTGGGCTGTGTTGAGCTTAATGGGTCCATGCTATCTATTTGGACCTATTATAGATTCTCATGATTGGGAAGTAATGTAAGCATTTATGCCAAACATTTGAATATACTGTGTTTTCAATATATCATCTCAAATATACTGTGTTTAAACAGACTCATGTTATAAACCCGGGGGATATCTCTGTCAATCACATTGCAAAGTCATACTGGAGGTGAAATGAACACAGTTAAAATCTAAAGGTTAACATTTCTAAGCAGCTATCACACTTATGAGTTGCCCCGGCCCTTTCTTCTTAGTTTTGACAAACAGGATCTCTCCAGAGCTTTGCTCCCCATCGAAACCAAACCAAAACAAAAGAGTTTCTATAATCTCCCACATGAACAGTTCATCTGCATTGCTTGGCTGGTTGCATGAGTAGCGAGGGTAGTTTGTATACTGCAACATGGTCCTCTATTTGAAAAAAAACCCCAAAACAATCTCTGGTGATCGTATGGAAATTCCCATCCCAGGTGGCGTTCACATAACTTGTTCGTCAGGTTCAACCAGAAAATGGAAACTGAATGAAGTCACATGGAACAAACAGAGAGGAGTCACTCATACTGGGTGGCATAAAGTGTGTCAATGACGTACAGGCTCGTTCTGTACGCCATTGCTGGATGGCTGTGATGCACCGGTGTGAATTTGCAGCCTTGATTTCAGTCAGTACCCCTGCCTAACTTGCGTGTGTTTGGATGTGTGAGTGTGTCTTCTATATGTATGTGAGACAGATAGACAGTTTGTGTCTGTGCGTCCTTCCTCTCCTATAGTAAATCAGGGTACACTTGAACCCCTTCGCTCTTAATTTCAGCTCTCTGGCGTTAGGTGGAAGTGGCTTCTCTCAGACGGTGATGGGGCAGGTAATGATTTTGTCCTCCAGCATGACGCTGAGGACCAGGAACACAACGTACAGCAGGAACATGAGAAGGCCCAGAGACTTGCTCATTTTCCAGTTGCAAGCCGCGATGGAGATGATGACAAAGAGGAGCATGAGGAAGAGTAGGACGATGGCGCAGAACAGTCCGTTGCTGCTGACCTGGATCGGTTTGAAGTCGTTGATGATGTGGTAGATGAGCCAGGGGAATGGCAGACTAGAGGGAGATAAGGGAGTTTATTAAGTTAGGAGAGGAACATGTTAAAAACAGATATGACTTTGGACTATTACTCTGTATGTGTTTTCTTGTTGTTTTCTGGACTCACCCCACAGTGATATCAAAGATGTTGGAGCCGACAGAGCTGGACACGGCCATGTCACCCAGTCCTTTTCGCGCCACAATCACACTGGTGATCAGGTCCGGGATTGAAGTGCCGGCTGCTAGTATAGTCAGTCCCATTATCTCCTCCGTAATCCAGAACGTTTCTCCAACCTGAAAGGAAGAACAAGTTGCAGCTGTACAGTTAAAAAAACTGCATCATTTTCATGTTGGTCCAAAGATTCTTGTTACCGTGTTGCTAATTTTTCCTGAAACATGTCAGACTAGGCGGTTACCTCCGGGGTTGAAGATTGTACTTGGATGTTCTAAAAACTGAAGTTATAAAATGGGCACTTGAGGCTGGCTCCAAAAGCGTGTCAATTTCCACGGACCACTATGTTAAAATGCCCAACTTTGCAGCAGAAATTCAGATGTAAGTAGCTTGTTTAAAAAAATATTTTTTTGTTGTGGAGCTTATTTTCCCGTTCATGACAACTGTATTTATATCATAAATAAGGGCATCATCATGGAGTCTTAAACATTACAGTTTAGTGATATATTTAATTATATGTAACCTCATAATAAATAAACTGACTTGTGATATTTATTATTCTATCCAACAGATATTTAACATTTATGGCGACTGCGCTCTGCATTTATTGGCACAAAAATGGCACGTGCGTCTCCTCAGTGACCTTGCATACAACATGACCTCATGCTTCAGGCCCGTCTTTGCATCTGCGCTGTTAGAATAGAGCAGTACAGGTTGATCTGGCTGTGGATCAAGGCGGATTAGCTGCTGTGGTCACACATTCAACACCCTGAATGCTGCACTGACTCATAAGAAAGGCCTCAGGAAAAGGAGAGAGTTGTTGTATGAGAGACAAATAGAGAGAACGTACCTGGTGAGCCCACCACACCATCAGGTAGGAGAAGAAAGCAATCCAAGAAATGGCACCGATGAAAGTGACGGAAGAATCTGGCCGAGGTCTGAGACAAGAAAAAAAAAAAGTTCAGTTTATACCGCACACTCAACAATTCAACTCCTCAGTTCATACTGTGTTTTGTTTCAATTCATGCATCATTCAGTTACAAATATGTGATATATCTGAACAACAAAGTGGTCAAAAATTATTTTATTCATTTATTGGAAACATTTTCATGATCGCTTTTTCCATTTTACATGTTCATTTATTGTCATTTCCATTCAGTCAGTCATTAAGTGCTATTTAACATGTTAATTTGCTACATATCCACACAAACAGACAAAGTGTGCAATCCAATGAATGTTAATCTAACTGGGTTTTGATAGATAACATATCTCTTTTTCTAAGAATGGCGTTTATCTTTTTGAGAATGAGTTCTTATTTGATTTGATTTATTTGGGTCTACAACAGATGATACAAATGTTTGTGTCAGTAAATGTGTACTAACAGAGGCGGGGGTGTTTGTGAAAATAACGGGGACAGAGCTGGCTGCTGTCAGACGATCAGCTGTGCAGCGTCATCACAAACGGACATCGCTTCACGTGACGCTCCGGAGGAAAGGACCATTGCTCTTACGGCCCCTACACACGGCGGCGTGCGGTGACTCTTCAACGCTTTTGCCCATTCACTTTGAATGGGGTGACGTCACGATTCGCCGAACTGCATTCTGGGAGCAAAGCTTTCCTCGCGGTGCTCGCTGCAAAAGTAGAGCAATGTTCTACTTTTGAAGCTGAGGCGGAGGCGGCAGCCAATCAAATCCCGCGTAAAAGAAACCCCCCCCCCCTTCCCATCACAAACTTTACACAGACCCCCTCTTCCAATTATCAACTCCTGTCTTGTTTCCGCAAACTCTTGTGTCCTGCAGCAGCTAAAAGTTTTGCAAGCCCCCGTTCGTTTAGTACCTAAAATAATAGACATCGCTTTTTCCAGCTGACAAACCCAACTTTCTGGTCACTTCTTCAATTTTCCAGCCCTTGGGGAGAGACACGGGAGATTCATGTGATTGGTTGTTGGTCGCGTTGCTCGCGTAAACTCCCCAAGCTCAAGACACGCCCACCGCCAAGCGGCAACGCACACCGCCGTGTGTAGGCTGCGTTAAAACTCATTTCCCTGCTTCTCGTGGTTTCCTTGCGTCTCTCCATGCTTCCCCGGTGGGAGGGACTAGTCGCAGGGAAACGACGCAAGTGAGGGACGCAAGGAATCCATTTAACCGAAGTGAAACGCAGCAAAGGTGTGAGTCCGGGGGATGTTTGTTCAGTGTAGTTTAAATATTTACTCAATGCCTTTTCTTTTAAACAGGGAACAAGCACACACGCATAAGCAAACACACACATCCACTATATAAGTTCCCTCATCAACAGAGAACAACCTTTTGTTTAAACTATGACGGAGGAAGAGTTATACACGGTGTACAAGGGGGTCTACGTGGTCTCATCTGTGCACACGCCAGAGAGTCTGAAATACTTTGAAGAGTTTGTTTTTCGCCCAGATGATATCATCATCGTGACGTATCCCAAATCTGGTGAGTTGTAAGTGTTAGGTGTTGAATGTGTGCACCACTATGAAATGTTTTTATTATTTGATTTGTAAAATAAATTTAAAATGAAAAGGAAGACATTTCCTGTGGCTTTGTATTTCGATGAGGAGCCAGATGAGACAAGAGCAAGTCAAAATCATTCACAAGCACTGATGTGTTTTGCCATTTTCACGATATTAGTCCTGGTGCAGCAGTTCACCAACAGAGAGTTTCACAGGCAGTTAGGGAAAAGGTTCTATAAAAATCAAACAATTCGAAATGTTGTTTATCACTGCTAAAACATAGCTATTTTCCATCGTTCCTGTGACGTAGTGTCCAAAAGTATAGTTTAAATATAATGCCTATAAATCCCTGCCTGCCGTCAATGTTTTTTTTTTTTAACACTTTTATTAAACACTAGACCCCATGTCTTTCAAAATATACTATACGATAATTGCAGTGTAGATATATGTACTGGGTTTTCTGTTACTGTAAAAGATGGGCTTTAGCTATAGCTAGCTCATTTTTCACATGGGTCCGTTGGGTTATCGTTAGGCAGTGTTCAAAGACATCCGGGGTCAAGGCCTACAGCGGTACCATGATCTCTCTGTCCATGCTCTGAGGTCCGGTTGAGGACAATGAACCTACTACTGTATGCCAATGATCCAAGTATCAGCAAGTTAGTTCCTCTGATTTTGACTTACTTAATGACCAAGGTACGTTTTAACCGTTTGTTTTTTAGTTCTAATTGAAACTAATAATAAAACAGAAACGGGTCGTTTTTTTGTTTTTCAATTTTGTCCCAAAACCAAAAAACGGAAATTCAGCTAATTTTTTCGTTTTTCTGTTCTTACTGTTAAAACAAGTATACCACTCAATGTTTCGTTTCCATAGGTGGGTGGATCTCCAGTGCCTCCTTGCTTCTGATTGGCTAGTTTGCCCTATGCTTGCGCTGTACTCGCGCTGTACTCTTCAAAATAAAGGTTCATACTCTTTGCCTAGACAGTGCAGTGCGTGTTTGCACAACATTGAATATATGGCTACATGAAAAACATGCAGAAGACAGTCTGTCCGTGTGTGGGTGCGTATGTGTGTGTTGGTCTGTCTGTCTGTCTGTCTCGCGATCTGTCTATCTGGCTGTCTGTCTTGCACTGTCAGCCATGAATCCCTATAAAGTATGAGTATCTCTCTGTTTGATGTTACTGACACTGCTGAATTGATGCGGCCGTATTTCCCGTTTGCGTGGTCAAGTCAGCATCGAGGTTTTTTTCTTCAAATCTATATTAAAATAGCTTGGAGGTTGAGGATTGATAAATACTATTTAGAGTACTTTTACTGTGTACTCTGTCAAACTCCCCTCTTGAGTACAATAATGCATGTTTTCTGCTATCTTTGATGAGAGATAAAATGATGTTCTGCCATAAATTCTTAATGAGAGTGATACTGTTTGACTCAGTATACTAATTTAACTACACCAAGTACTTTTTCAGGTATTCTTTTTCAAATTCCCCTCCTTAGTACAAGAATGCATCTTAAATAAAAATGTGTCATTAGACTTATATTGTTGGACAGAGTATTTTAAGAGGATATGGTAGACATGATACCAGCACTACTTCCAGTCAGTACTCCAGCAGCAGCTTTTACCCCTTGGGAAATCTTCAGAGAATATCCTGCATAGCTGGTCTATCCTTCAGCAAAGTGACACACCTAGGGTGACCAGGTCCCAACAAACCAAATGTGGGACAAGGAGTATGTTTGTGTGGGACAATGTGGGACACCCTCTCAACAGCCCCCCCCTGGAAAATGAATTTATATTCTGTTTCATTTGGTTTATTCAACAGCATCCAATAAACAATGCAGATAAAAACTTAACAAATATATAACAGAGCAGAAAGTGAAGTCAAAATGCAGTCAAAATGTAGTATCTTAATAAAGATAAGTAAACTAAGGCTAACCAAGGCAGCAGGCATTATTCACTTCAAGTGTTTAGAAATGCATCTTCCTAATTCAACTAGTGTATTACCTGTAAAAGTAGGCACAACATAAATTAATAGATAAAATAAAACCATAAATACAAATCAAAACTGGCCAGGAGGGAACAAAAACATAATAATACATAAAATAAAATAGCTTTCGGTTTTGTCACAGCAACAGCAGGTGGGCCCCCCCACACAGGCTATGGCTATGCACTTCCAGCACCATGGAAAGCACCTGGCAGTGAAACAGAAACACAAGAATAGCAGCACTGTATTCAAATCTAACACCACATTGGCCCACAATATCCTACTATATTCTAAAATATCCTACTTTTAGTCTATATTCTAAACAAAGTTTATCTTACCTTAGATGCTCTTCTTGACTTTGTACTTTTTGCTTGAGCGTGCAGCTTCCAATAAGGCCTTCTCCTTGAGTGCATAGGTGTAGAATTCCTTACAACTGTATTCAAAGTTGGTCTTGACTTGAATTTCAGACTTGATAAGCTCCACAGAGCACCGGTTCCACTGGTCAGTCCACGCTGCCGTCATGAGGGAAAACACTCTCTCTACCGAAGCATTAGTGATGGGGATGCTTAAGAGAAAGGATGCCACAGCAGTCAGATTTGGTGTGTTTGTGCCTTGAAGCAAGGTGGACCAGTTCTCCACAACAGGAGCTCTTCTCTCCACAACGTCCTGCTGGCGTGGCAAAGTCACACAGTATTCATCATACAGTTCATCCATGTCTAGTTTCCCCCTTATCTGTAGATGGGAGAATGTGAACTTGCTCTTCAGTGCCAAGCTTCAACATTCTTCTGGTAGTTGTTGTCTGTGAAGTCATACCACTTCTCAAGGTAGTTGAGAGCAGCCTGGTAGAACTTGGAAAGATCATGTTTGATTGCTGCTGCCTTTTGGTCTGGAAACTGTTGGAGGATAGCACTGGTCTCCATTCCAAAGAAGGAATCAATCTGTCGTTGTTGGAGCTTTGTCTTGAGAGTGAGCATCATGTCATATAGCTCACATACGGTCCCATCCTCTCTCTCCAATAGCAGCACAACATCGTGGAAGATTTTCAGCACATTATTGAGGAAGGACAGGTACACCTGTAGCTCTAGGGGTTTCCCATCACCATCCTCATCATTTTTTAACAGCTGCCACAGTGAATTTGGGCACTTATCCTCTCCCAGTGACAAGAAGTAGGTCTTGATAGCTCTCCAGCTGTCATGTAGCCTCTTGACAGCAGGCCACAGACTCAACCATCTTGTGGGTACGTGTCTCCGCACAACCTGCTATTCTTCTTCCACAAAGGTGAACACTGCTTTCAATTCTTCTGTACGTTTTGCAGATGAGGAAAAGTGACTAAATGTTTTGTTCACTACTAGCTCAATGTCAATGTTCAACCTGTCTCCAGCATGCTTTGCACTGTTGTGCACTATGTGGGCCATACAGTTAGCCTTAATGATGCCACTGTTGTCTGCTTTTAGCTTCTGGAAAACTGAATTGTTTCTCCCGTAATTTACACTTGCATTGTCGGCAGTGTATGCTGAAATCATGTCAGGTTGCAGGCCATTTTCTTCTAGCTTGCTTGTAATCTGGCGGTGTATGGTAGCAGCTGACTCATCACTATCCTCATAGAAATCAAGGATCTTGCTTTTCAAACCCAACTCTGGGGTCCAATATCTCAGAGACAGTGGGAAGAGTTTTATAGTGCCATGATTTGAAGCATCTGAAGCCACTGAAAAAAATGGTGTGTGGGCTATTTTGTCACCTAGAACCACTGGTGTCTTTAACTCTGTCAAACAACTCTCCACAGAGGCAGGGGCAAGCACCTCTGTTATTATGGACGCTGCTTTTGTACGACCACATGACATTTTCTTTGCTATCTCAGAGTCTGGAAAAATGGTCTGCGCTAGCTTGTTACCACAGTCATTTGACCGGTATGATTGGGAGTGTTGCACTGTATGGTAAACACTGGTTATTTCTGCTGCTGTTACCTTGTCTGAGTGGCCATCATTTTTTGGTTTGAGAAGGAATGTCTCCATAGAGTGGGATGTCTCTTTTTGAGCGACACGTCTCTTGTGAGAATCGCATTCTCGGTGTCTTTTGACGTCGTATTCACCGCCATGTGAAATTGAAAAATTACTCTTGCAAAGATTGCAAAAAACTCTCTGAGTCGCCCTGCACTGGCTTCACCCACGGGTAAGTGTCTTCCCAGTCTTTGTTGTATGTGCATCTTCTTTTCTTCTTAGCTGTAGTTTCAGTTTCCTCCATTTTCCATAACCTGCTGCGTCGCCTGCGTTATTGACTTTCGTTGTTGTTGTTTGGCGGGGCCGCGGGGGGGTGTGTGTGAGTGAGTTACTCTCATTGGTTAACACTTGACCAGCACCCGCCGTGTCTTACAGTTTGATTGACAGCAAGCACAGCCCTGTGATGATAGCCTTCCCTGCTTTCTCAACAGCCATTGGATAAATCTGATTTTAGAAAAGCGTTTTAGCCAATCAAAATGAAATATGCGGGACATCGTCTCAATTTGCGGGACGCACCAAAAGTCGCGAAAATGCTGTGCAGTCCCGCGCAAAGCGGGACATCTGGTCACCCTAGACACACCCTGTCACTCTTGTTGGCCTCTTATGATGATGCTGTCTTAACCTTTAACAGCCAGCGCCACCATTTGGTAGAGCACATTTTGTGTTTTGATATCTTGTTGAAAAATAAATAAAAAAGTGTAACTCCATCTGATTCAGCCAGCTCTATCGTTTGGTTGACATGTTATGCACAAAACAACCTCTAGATGTCACTGTGGTTCGAACTAGAGTCTGAGTGCCAATGACCTCTACATGTCACTTGTTAGTTGCTTTTACCTTAAAGCGACTTACATACACTCAATACTGTGGACAATCCTCACAGGAGCTATTTGGCGTGAAGCCCAGGGACACAACGACATGTTGACTGCAGTGGGGATTGAACCAGTGCCCCCCTGATCCAAAGATCAACGCACGATCAGCCACAGCCTCCCTAGCCATATTATGTCTGTCATTAATGTTACATCACCCCTTTTAACGATTTTCTTTCCTTTCTTCTCTTTTCTCTTCTCTTGACTGAATTAAAAAGTCCAATCTTTAAGTAATATTTGAAGTCCTTTTCCTGCACCTTTTTAAGGCTATGTTTGCAATATGTATTCAAAGGTCACTTATTTAAATAAATGAATATATGAGGTTAGCAAACAGATACTGCCTAGAGAGCCAATGACACCCATGAAGAATTGATCCTCCTGCTAATCTTTTCATCTGCTGTATTAATAAAATTGCCATGTGTTTTCAAATTGAAAATAAGGCACCAGAACATTATACAAAATATATATATATTTTAAAAGGGACCCGTAAGGCTTAATCAATGTTATATATAGATCTTTATATAATATCAATATTATAATAAACTTCAACCAAAGTCAATTTCAGGAGTGGTGTTTGACACAGTTTACATTCAATTTCAACTATTTTAGTCTTATATTGACTCAACCTTTTTAAATAATTTACTTTCATTTAGAAAAGGTTTTTCTGAGAAAAATGTACTAAAAAATTGAAAAATACAAGTTGAATAGGACGATGTGGATCTATTTTCTCTCACCTTGTAATTACACAATCAAATAATTTATAATACGGCTTTGGACTTCACTCACCAAAAAACATTTGTTTTTATGTTTTGCATTTGTACTATTTTGTAGTCAATTTGGACAAATATCTGTCGAACTAAAAATATCCTATGATTGCATATGGTGTGAATATGTATACCCTGCCCACTCAGTATTATTTTAGGTACAATTTATATTTTAAATGTAATGAAAAAGCCAACTCAATAGTGTGTTAAAAATAGACTTTAGGATATTGTAAAACAAAAAACTGCTATATAATGTATTCTTAACCCTCCTTTATCTTCACATTTGCTTTACACCCTTTATTCTTGGTGGTCATTTTGACCCCAGGAGTTTAAAGCTCAGAAAATGATCATATTCAAAATTGTTACCAAAATGTATGTAAAGTAAAAGTACTTTATGTTTCTTAGTTGACTATCTAAATACCCATTTAAATAAAACACTACCCCCACCTTCCCCCTCCACCCACAGCATTATACATCCATAATTCCTATTATGTGACCATTGTAAAATATATAAATCACCAGAAAATCTCACTGATTGACGTAACATTTTAAAGGATGATCTTTTTGCTGTTGTCAAAGGATCTATATTATTTCCAAGTACAATTTTGGCATTTAAGAAATGTACAGTATATTATCAAGGATAGTAACATTTATTGTGTTTGGGGTCAATATGGAAATATTTCCCTTCCAGTGTCAGCATTCCAAAGGCATGCCGTTGCCTCCCTTTTTGATTTCTACACTCAATGTGGGCTTGTAAGTGGTTCCCACCCAACTCCTAACTGTCCCATGCATGCACCTCACCTTTAAATTCACAATCTCAAGTATATTGTCTATCAATCCTCTATTGATGGTGTTATGAAGAGCTCAATGCTGACTTCAGGTCTTAGACATGGCTGACAGCGTATTTTGTGGGGCCTGGAGCCATTTTCATTACATTAGCAGCACTAAACTTAACCTGTTTTTCACGTGGGGAGCGGGACCAAGATAACTTTCCATTTTTGGAAAGTAATGTTTCTGCTTGTGTTTGACAGAAAACAGGAAAATCTGCATGGGGTATTCAGGGTGGACAATTTGACAGAGGATTTCTCTGAAAGTACAAAATAAAAGTATTTTATAGTCTTTGCGCTAGTAGTCTAACTACTGAGTCCAAAATGATCAGTCTTCGAACTTAAAAGTATTTGTATTGCTCGTCACATATAGCAGCAAGACAGGCATTGTTGTACCATGGAAGGGACTTTGACAGGAGAGTATCAAGAAGTACACAGTAAAAGTATTTCATAGTATTTGGGATAGTTGTAACTACAACTGATTCCAACTTCATCAGTCTTATGAAAAACGTATGGCCAAAAATAATGTTATCGCTCATCAAAGATAGCAGAAGCTTGTCATTTTTGCACTGTGTAAAGGCAAAGAGTTAGAACCTTTATTTTGAAGAGTACAGCGCAAGCATAGGGCAAACTAGCCAATCAGAAGCAAGGAGGCACTGGAGACACTGGAGAAATAAGAAGTTAACTTGACACTGAGTGGAGATTGACATTTGGCCAGAGTTTTCAATAATAGTTTAACCATCTTTTGGATGGTGTGTTTGGGCATGTGTATGAAGTATTACATTTGGCAAGCACACAAGATAAGAAAAAACCCCTCCCTCCTTGTTGGCTATTGCCTGTGACTTTGGGAATGTTTTCATGGTATTAACAATTCATGAGTAATTAATTAGTGGTTATCTTATTCTGAAGGCCGCATTTAAATACAAGCAAACGAGTAAGGGGTGAGGTGAAAATGGGTATAATTTCATCTCACCCCAAGTTTTGCAAGGGCTAATAAATACATATTTAAGAAAATCTTTTTTTGTTTTTGTTTAGGTACAAGCTGGATGAAGGAGATTGTCCCTCTGATCATGAGTGGAGGAGATCCAACACCTGTTGACACGATTCTTAACTGGAATCGTGTTCCCTGGCTTGAAGTGCAGCAGACCACCTCCCTCAAACTTGAACAGAGGCCCTCTCCACGACTGTTGACTACACACTTCCAGTACAACATGATGCCACCATCTTTCTTTGAAGTAAAGCCAAAGGTAAACCTATCAACTAAGGCAGATCAGATTCAATGTGATAAACGCATCACAGACAGTATGTGTGAAGGAAAGGGTCTGACGTCATGTCATCACTGCAGGTCATCTATGTGATGAGGAACCCCAAAGATGTGTTCACATCGTCTTTTCATCATCATGGCGCGGCTTCCGTTCTGGTGGACCCAGGCCCACAGACCCAGTTCCTCCACAAGTTCCTTGATGGAAAAGGTTTTTCTGATTGTTACAGCTATGTAATGTTTAGAATGCGTTCATAACAAGATACATATCAGTAAGTAGGACGAAAACTCTTAAAAAAACCTTTTACCTGGTAACATGATTTAAAGGGGACTTATCATGCACATTCTTAATTGTGTTTTGGGATTTTACTGGCCCATGATTACAAACTTTAATGTTCAAAAAACACATTCTTGTTCTTATAAATTCTCTGAAAATGCTCATTTTAAGTACCTGTCTTTTTAAAGCAACCCAAAATACCAGCAAGAGTAAAATAGAGAAAACGGTCGATTCTTATACATTGTGGGTCGCTAGCACACCATGGATAAATGTTTATCTTGCAAAGCCATTAGCAAGTGCATTTTGCATTATGTGTAGCCTTTAACAAGGGAGATCTTGAAAGACCATGAAGTTCAGTAAACAAAAATACTAAGTTATGATAACCTCTTATTAAAGGAATACATGTGTCTCCTGTTCCTTCCAGTTATGTTTGGCTCGTGGTTTGATCATGTAAAGAGCTGGCTGAATGCTGAAGATGAAGACCACATCATGCACATCTCCTATGAAGAGATGATAATGGTGAGACTCAGTAACAATCCTCAAATCTGCCTCAAATCACTTTTCCAAATATTTTCCTAATAATTCTGACCTTGATTTAGCAATCATCTTCAAACTCCTCCTACTAAGATATTGTATACTGGGAGAGCCGTATGGGCTCAGAACAGTCTCATAATACACACATGCACACAGAAGGATTCACACTTGTATTTCATGATCCGCAAAAGGATTCACACTTGTATTTCCGGATCCACACTTGCGTTCATGACGTAGCGCTTCATGTACGCATTTTGCGCTGTCCAGAGCGGACAGGTCCATGGAGCCTGCCTGCAGGCGCTAATCTCAGGACACCTCCACTCTCAGTACATTGCCACTTTCCGAGCAGGAAATGCACGCAAATACAAGCCTTTATATTATTAAGGTAGAGCGCCACTTTCCGAACCATTAATGAATGCTTGTGTACACAAAAACGGCAGGCAAAACTGTTTTAAATGTGTGTTTCCTGTATGGCGAATACAGCTGCTTTATTTATGTCTGTATGAAGTTGTTGTGAGTGTGGAGGGAGCAGCTACAGGTTAGCTTAGCCTAATCGATCAGTGCACTACGAAGCCAGTGCTAGACAGTGAACTGTCAACGGGGGGGAGCCCCGCCGGTCATTATCGGCCGATATTCACTCTTAATAGTTTGATCGGTGCTCTCTATAAAGGCCGATCAGGAGAGCTGGATTTGATCGATATGGACATAAACGCGAGTGAAGTTTTAGCGAGCTGCATGAGAAACTGACGGGCTGTCAGGAGAGAGGGAGGGAGAGAGGAAAATAGATGATCCTTACTCCCGTGTTATTATCCGGTCATAGTCCGGTAATTACCTGCTAACGGAAACGCTGCTACACAATTCTTATTCTTATTATTATTGAAACATGACCGGTAAGTTTCAAATTTGTCCGGTAAAATTAAATTCTGTCCGCGGAAACCCTGCTCCGGACAGTGCAAAATGCGTATATGAAGTGACATGAACGCAATAAATCATACCCTCGTGGGGGCGCGCTCATGTGATTGGCTTAGAATTGAGGAGACATCTGATTGGCTATAGATAGAAAAAATTACAAGTACGAATCGGGTGACCGTCAGGGGAGTCTCAAAAAACCCACACACGAATGCACAGCGATCCATGCACAGAAAGCGGTTTGTGTTTGCCGGTTCAGAGGATTTAAACGGAAAACAAATATGTGAGGATCAAAAATACATATGTAAAACTTTTTTCTGTATTTGGATTTTATTTACATGTATATGAAACGGAACACATTTGTGTGTGCATTGAAAAACACAAGTGTGGATCCGGAAATACAAGTGTGAATCCTTTTGCGGATCATGAAATACAAGTGTGAATCCTTCTGTGTGCATGTGTGTATTATGAGACTGTTCTGAGCCCATAGAGCCGCTGCAGGAATATGAGCTGATCTGTGTTTGTCTGCAGGATCTGAAGGGCTCTGTCTGCAACATGGCTCAGTTCCTGCAGAAATCTCTGGACGATGAAGTGATAGAGAAGATAGCCGACCGATGTTTGTTCAAGAACATGAAGAAGAACAACATGTCAAACTTCTCTACTGTTTCTCGTGAATTACTGGACCAGACAAAGTCTGAGTTTCTCAGGAAAGGTGAGTGTCATTAAATAATACATACAGTACAAAAGGTTTGGCTGATATTTCTGTTAGTAAGAACTGAATTGAATATCATAGACAAAGCACTTCTACGATGTAGCCCGAACTCGTGGTCAACTGACCCTTGTTGAGTCTATTTTTATATAACATTACAAGGTTGATTCTTATTATTACATTATATGCTTATTGTGCTCATGAGATGTTGCTATGACTATGGCAACCCGGTATCACGGCAAGACGTGAACATGTGACGATCTACCATGCTGGGAGACGTGAATATGTCACGGTTTCGTCCCTTCAAACGTGACAGTTACACGGTATTGTTAACATGGCCCAACCAGTGGAGAAATACTCGGAAGTGCCAAGCAAATGGTCTACTGCGCCTATTGGTCTGTTTTTATTGTCAAAATTAGATGTTTTTAATTTATTTTTTAATGATTAGTATTGATACTGCAAGGAGACGTATTGTGTGAAAAGAAATGTAAGATGTTGTTTAATTGCTGATATATTTATGATCCACGTCACGTTTTCAGTTTTGGCGGCAGTGCTTCCTGTTTGTCCAGAAGTCTTATCATCAGGGCTCTATAAATACAGAACTACGGCAGATATGTCATATTTAATGCAGCCGAACCGTGTATTACAATGCCGTTATGTGATGACCTCCAAAGAGAAAAGCAAGCAAACTCGGAATAAAGTATTATTTTTTTTTTTTTTAAATGTTTTCGGATTTCACATCAACAGGAGTCCGGTTAACTAAAATGTCCGTGCGGAACATTTTAGATCACCCATAGATCCGTGGGTGAATAATGTCAATCACCACATTACACACATCCCTTCACATTTACATTTTAATTTACATTAAAGTATTTCGTCAGGCCTTCTAAAATGTTTTTAAATATAATTAGGGTTGTAGTTGAAGAGTTTGTAAATTGCGTTGCCTGGCAACGCAATCGCACAACGTCACGTCCGTTAATTCCACATCCACACCTCCACACACATGGATTAACATCGATTTAATACATTAATGTAGCCTTTGTTTCTGTTAAAAGAGGTGTCGACCAGCTAGGGCAACAAGAAAATCGGCGAAATCCAGTGTGACGATTACAAAATAAATTAAAAACATCTAATTTTGACAATAAAAACCGACCAATAGGCGCGGTAGACTATTTGCTTGGCACTTCCGGGTATTTCTCCACTGGTTGGGCCATGTTAACAATACCGTGTAACTGTCACGTTTGAAGGGACGAAACCGTGACATATTCACGTCTCCCAGCATGGTAGATCGTCACATGTTCACGTCTTGCCGTGATACCGGGTTGGACTATGGAATATATAGACATAATCACCAATCCCAGGTTCTGATGGGTTGGATATGAAACGACCAGGTGCAGACACTGTGAGAAGACAAAGAGTTATTGAGAAAAGGAGATCGCTCTGACCTTGGCCGTGTGTGTGTGCTCAACGCCTACGCATAACTGGGAATCAGTATAATGGAGGATTCCACTATCTATTTTGGAAACTTTAGCAAAACAAATTACGTAGGATAGCGTGACTAGAGTATCGCAACACACTCTCACTCCCTAAGCGTCCAGGAGTGACGCTTGGTCAGGGTCCTGTGGCGTCCAGTTGTGACGTGCCGAGGCTCCTTCAGCTTCATAAACGGACGCAAAGAGCTTTCAACTGATTGCAATGTATTCCCATCGGCGTCGGTATTTGACGCTTAGGGAAGCACGGCATTCGTTTGTGTCGGAGGCTGTTAACGGCAATGTGAGCGTCCATTCCCATTGGATAACGGAGAATTGTACACCCGGAAGTAAGTATTCCCCTTACTGTCGATTGATTTGACAGTGATATCTCCACTACTCATCAACTCAAAAACACCAGATTACTGTATCCTTGTTAATTAAACGACGGTTTTAGTGTGTGTACAATGCTTTTGTCACGTTTTCCCCTTCAATTCTGAGAAACAAGTCGTTTTCTATGAGTTTTGGATGGCCGAAGACATTACATTACCCACAATCCTCTGTAGCAACCATAGACTGTTTACAAAAATTAAATAATACATTATTCCGAGTGTGCTTGCTTTTCTCTTCAAAAACACCAGATTATCCTTGTTAATTAAACGACATTGATAGGTTTTAGTTTGTGTACAATGCTTTTGTCACGTTTTCCCCTTCAATGCTGAGAAACAAGTCGTTTTCTATGAGTTTTGGAGAGAAGCCCCTCAAAGCAGTGCGCAATGCCTCAATGAGCTCAATGTGGGCGGGAGCTCAACGTGGGCGGAGCTTCACAGATGACGTGTTGCATCCTGTTTCCCGGTAGCAGTTCTCTTCCCTCCCTTCAATCTAACCCTTCCCTTCCCCCCATCCTAACCCTAACCACTCCCTACCTTTTTACCTAATCCTAATCTTCCTTCCTCCCTCCCAAACCTAAATCCCAAAACCTCTCCTACTGTAAGAAATTAAAATCAATGTTGATATGATGTAATTTAAATTAAATACAGGGTTTTAATTTAAAGTAGTTTTATAAATAAAATTATAAAATGCAATAACGTGCTTTAACCAGTAGGTGTCCCTTTCTATCAGCTATGCACCGTTATGGCGTAAATACAGCCTATCTACCAATTGGATCAAATATAAAAGTCAGCCGAATTAGTGTTGATACTGCAAGGAGACGTATTGTGTGAAAAGAAATGTAAGATATTGTTTAATTGCTTATATATTTAAGATCCACGTCAAGTTTTCAGTTTTGGCGGCAGTTCCTGTTTGTCTAGAAGTCTTGTCATCAGGGCTCTATACATAGAGTTAACTACGGCAGATATGTCATATTTAATGCAGCCGAAACATGTATTACAATGCCGTTATGTGATGACTTTCAAAGAGAAAAGCAAGCACACTCGGAATAATGTATTATTTAATTGTTTTATACAATGGTTGCTACAGAGGATTGTGGGTAATGTAATGTCTTCGGCCATCCAAAACTCATAGAAAACGACTTGTTTCTCAGAATTGAAGGGGAAAACGTGACAAAAGCATTGTACACACACTAAAACCTATCAATGTCGTTTAATTAACAAGGATAATCTGGTGTTTTTGAGTTGATGAGTAGTGGAGATATCACTGTCAAATCAATCGACAGTAAGGGGAATACTTACTTCCGGGTGTACAATTCTCCGTTATCCAATGGGAATGGACGCTCACATTGCCTTTAACAGCCTCCGACACAAACGAATGCCGTGCTTCCCTAAGCGTCAAATACCGACGCCGATGGGAATACATTGCAATCAGTTGAAAGCTCTTTGCGTCCGTTTATGAAGCTGAAGGAGCCTCGGCGCGTCACAACTGGACGCCACGGGACCCTGACCAAGCGTCGCTCCTGGACGCTTAGGGAGTGAGAGTGTGTTGAGTAGGGAGGGAATCTTCTTTTTTCCGTAAATAGAGTTACAGATTACAGCTCTGCTGCCTGTGATTTCTATGACCTGAACTCTGTTACCTTGGCCAAGTAAATATATATTTTGCTCTCTTTTAAGAAATAGTTGAACTTAGAAGTTGTTTGTCTTTCCTGGAATAAAAGAACGCAACACCCTATAGCCCCTGCCACGTGAGCAGTAGCAGAAAAATCATGCAAATTGACAGCATGGAAGTGTGGTGGAAACTTCTGTAGCAATAGGAGTCAGGACTCATGCGGCTTTCACACCAGCGCTTTTCCCTTTCTAGCTCCGAGCTAGAGCTTTTCTGGTTCAGCTCCAGTTTCCCTTTTCTGCTCCCGCTTTGTTCACACCACACAGAGCCGGGATGGTGCTGCCGCTGCTGCGTCATGACGTCACCGTTTACATCGCTGATTTGCTCCCCAACGGCGCTCACAACAACAACAACGGGGGACTGCGTCGGGTCGATGATCGTGTTGCTTTTAATCATACGAAGCCAGATTAAATTAAATAACGACTTCTCCAACCTTATACTTTCTCCAGAGTGCCATGGTTCATTGTTTATTAATGTGTTTCAGCGGCATTTACCGACCGCTGCAGTGCTGGCTGCTCTTCCACGGGAGTTTATTCTCCCGTTAGCTCCGGGTTAGCTCACACGGCTATAAAGTATTCACTGTCTGACTGTCACACAAGCAGCTGATACATATCCCCAGTTCCCCTTAAAGTGGACCTATCATGCTATATTTGAATAATATAGTGTAGGACCATACCTATATAAGGCATATTTATACTATTTTTTTTTTTCAAAATACCAAACAGATCATGCATTTTAGCCATGCCTCATTTTGCTCAATTTGACATTTTTTAGCTCTGTTTTTGCAAGGGCAGATTCTGTGAGAACAGCACCATCTACAGGCCTGGCATATGTACTACAGCGTCTCCAGCGCTTTCGAACGGCAATGGCCGTGGCTGTCTCCTCCTGATTGGTGGAGTTGGCCCAATAGCCGTAGCGCCACGGTCCTGACGTCAGGACAGTGTTCAAATCTGGATCAGTTTTTATTAGATCCGTTGCAGCCCCTTTTTTAGAGATTTGGGTATGGAGGAAAATAGAGAGGGTTGTGTTTTCTGACACTTGGTGAGTTCCCTGGAACACCGGGGACACATATTCATGTATAAAAGACGTACAAAAGTGCATTTTGCATGATAGGCCCCTTTAAGTGAATGTGTGTCAGTCTGAATTGACGCTGTTTGGCATCACAACGCTGTTATGAAAGTTTCTCTGGTATAACATGGGTGATGTTAGCATAGCAACCGAAGCTAAACTGACTACTTGCTAAGCCGTTTTCTACAGGCACATTTTACCGGCGTATTTTTCATTACGATTCTATTTGTGATAGTCGGACATGACAACCTGTGCAGCCCATGTATTGATTCCATCCGATAGCTGCTATAATAAAAAACAAAACGTCTGCCTGCTCTCCACAATGATCAATAACAGCGAACGGATGGTCAAAGTAAGGTACAAATAAACAGAATCACACGAAGCCTGGTTAGTGTTGCCTGACTTTAA